CCTCTTCCCCCAATCTGCCCTCCCTTTTATCTTTCTCCTTCTATTTTTCTGTAGGGCACAATAGATTTCTATACCCCATTGCCTGTATACCTTAGTTCCCAGTTGCATGTAAGAATAATTTCTTTTAAAACTTTGAGTTCCAAATTCTCTCCCTTCCTCCCTCCCGACCCACCCTCACTGAGAAGGCAAGAAACTCAATACAGGTTATACATGTGTAGTCATGCAAAACACTTCCATAATAGTCATGTTGTGAAAGACTATATTTCCCTCCATCCTATCCCACCTGCCCCCGTTTTTTTATTCTCTCCTTTGACCCTGTCCCTCTTTAAAAGTGTTTGCTTCTGATTACCCCTCCCTTAATCTGCCCTTTCTTCTATCATCCCCCTCTCTTCCCCCCTCTTATTCTATAGGGTAAAGATAGCTTTCCATACCCAAATGGCTGTGTACGTTATTCTCTCCTTAAGCCAAATTCGATGAGAATAAGATTCACTCATTTCTTCTTATCTCCCCCCTCTTCCCCTCCACCATAAAAGCTTTTTCTTGCCTCTTTTATGTGAGATAATTTACCCCATTCTACCTCTCTCTTTCTCCTTTTCCCAGTACAATCCACTCTCATCCTTTAATTTTATTTTTTAGATATCATCTCTTTATATTCAACTCACCCTGTGCCCTCTGTCTCATGGGTTACAAATATCATATTTCCATGTAGGAATGTAAACAGTTCAACTTAAATAAGTCTCTTATGATTTCTCTTTTCTGTTTACCTCTTCATGTTTCTCTTGAGTCTTGTATTTGAAAGTCAAATTTTCTATTCAGCTCTGGTCTTTTCATCAAGAATGCTTGAAAGTTCTCTACTTCATTGAATTTCTATTTTTCCCCTGAAGGATCATACTCAGTTTTCCTGGGTAGGTGATTCTTGATTTTAATCCTACCTCCTTTGACCTTTGGAATATCATATTCTAAGCCCTGCAATCCCTTAATGTAGAAGCTGCTAAATCTTGTGTAATCCTGATGGTGTTTCCACAATATTTGAATTCTTTCTTTCTGGCTGCTTGCAGTATTTTCTCCTTGACCTGGGAACTCTGGAACTTGGCTATAATTTTCCTAGTTTTCCTTTTGGGATCTCTTTTAGGATGTGATCATACTTGCAATTTCTATTTTACTCTCTTGTTCTAGAATATTAGGGAAGTTTTCCTTGATAATTTCTTGAAAGATGGTGTCTAGACTCTTTTTTTTTTATCATGGCTTTCAGGTATTCAAATAATTTTTAAATTATCTCTCCTGGATCTATTTTCCATGTCAGTTGTTTTTGCAATGAGATATTTTACATTGTCTTATATTTTTTCATTCTTTGGTTTTGTTTCATTTCCATATTTTTTTTTAAATTTTTAGGCAATTGGGGTTAAGTGACTTGCCCAGGGTCACACAGCTAGTAAGTGCAAGTGTTTGGTCTGAGGCTGGATTTGTACTCAGGTCCTCTTGACTTCATGGCTGGTGCTCTATCCTGCACCACCTAGCTGCCCCCTTGGTTTTGTTTTATAATGTTTTGATTTCTTACAGAGAACTTAGCTTACATTTGCTCCATGCTAATTTTTAAGAAATTATTTCCTTCACTGAGCTTTTGGACCTCCTTTTCCATTTGGTTACTTCTGCTTTTAAGGCATTTTTCTCCTCATTGGCTTTTTGGACTTCTTTTGCCATTTGAGTTAAGTTTATTTTTTAAAGTCTTATTTTCTTTAGTATTTTTTGCACCTCTTTTAGCAGCTGTTGACTGATTGTTCATGATTTTCTTGCATCACTCTCATTTCTCTTTCCAATTTTTCTTCTACTTCTCTTATTTGATTTTCAAAGACCTTTTTGAGCTCTTCCATGGACTGAGACCAATTCTTATTTTTCTTGGAGGCTTTGGATGTAAGAGCTTTGATTTCCTTGTCTTCTTCTGGTTGTATATTTTGATTTTTTTTTTTGGTCACCAAAGTAAGATTCTATAGTCTGAGTTTTTTCCACTGTTTGCTCATGTTCCCAGCAAGTTACTTGACTTCTAAACTCTTTATTAAGGTAGGGCTCTGCTTCCAGTGTGGGGGGTGTACTGTCCCAAGCTTCAGGGGTTTTATGTGGCTATTTTCAGAGATACTTCTAGGGACCTGTAAATTTTCAGTTCTGCCAAGGTGGTACGATCAAAGGAGAGGTATTTACTCCTTTCCTGGCTGTGCTCTGGTCTGTAAGTGACCACAAGCACTCTTTTCTGCCTTGGAACTGTGAGGAGGATTTCCTCCCACTGCCACCACGAGCTCCACCATGCCAATGCTCCTCCTCACCCCAGGACCTCCACCCAGGACTTCAACCCAGATCCAAGCATGGGCAAATCAAGAAAATCCTGCCTCACCACCAGCAAAGAGATTCATGCAATCCCCCTCTGATTAGCCAAGAGCTGTGGAAGCAGCCACTAACACTGTGGAGGCCTCCCTGGCTTTGCGCTAGGGCCAGAGCTGGACCATGCCTCTCTCTCACCCAGGTCCGATAGACCTTTTCCACTGACTTTCTAAGTTGCCTTTGGCTTTTGTGGATTGATAAGTCTAGAAACTGCCACAGCTACCCATGATTCAGTCTCCTAAGGCCTGCTTCGGGTTTGCTAGGGCCCCATCTTTGCCCACATGGCTCATGCTAAACTGTGCTCCTCTCCGAGCCCAGTGATCCAGAGGTTGAATGATCAACACAGCTCAATAGTGTCTCATGGAACCCTTATCACCATATTGTGCACATGGCTGCAAGGTATGCAGTTTCCATGCTTGCCCTATGAAATCATTGTTTGACTTCCCACAAATCGGCTGGTAGCACCTGTTGTTTTATGCAGGTGGGAAAAAGACAAAATCCTAGCATTAGAATGAATAATTCCAATAATAATTAGAATGAATACTGACAAGAAGTAAACTCAAGTATCTAAGCTTAGCCAAGTCTAGTCATAGATAAATAGGAGTATTTTATTCCTGACTGATTAAAATTCACAGATAAGGAAATGGCAATGCTTTTGTTGTTCAGTCATGTCAGACTCTCCCTGACCTTATTTGGGGTTTTCTTGGCAAAGATACTGGAGTGGGTTGCCATTTTCTTCTCCAGCTTATTTTATGAATGAGGAAACTGAGGCAAAGAAGATTAAGTGACTCGCTCAGGGTCACACAACTAGCTGCTGAAGCCAAATTTAAACTCAGATCCTCCTGACTCCGGGCCTGGCATTCTATCCATTGTACCACCCAGCTGCCCAAAAACACTACTGAAAGATAAGATCATAAGGTTATTGACTTGGAGTTGGAACAGATCTTAGCTACCCCTCTAGTCTGTTCAATTACAGTTGGAAAAAAAGAAACCCAGAGAAGGGAGGTCGTCCCTTACCTTATAGCATGGCCATGAACTGGAACAAACTTGTGGAAAGTATTTTTTTCTTTTTATTTCAATTAGCGCCTTCTTTCAATCATTCATTCATGGAATAAGAATGTATTCAATGTCTATTGTGTCAAACAGTAATCTGGTTGAGGGTTGACAGGGTTCAATTCATGCATGCTACAGGATTGAAACTGATCTCAATAATGACGGTAGTAGAGTTTTATTTTAAAGAATTTTATATACATATATATATACATATATATGTATATATATATATATGTATATATATATATATTGTTTTTTTAATGTACTTGGCTCCTAGGTGGAATAGTGGAGAAATGAGATCAGGAATACCTGAGATGAAATCCTGCCTCTGACTAACTCTGTGATTCTAGGCAACTCATTCATCTTCCTCACCTTCCTCATCTGTAAAATGAGCTGTTGTTTAGGTTAATAGAGACCCACACTTTGCAAACCTTAAAACACGATATAAGTGTTATTTTATTATTATTTATTTTTATTATTGGGATTATTATTATTATTATTAACTATTGTTATTCTCTCCCCATCAAGCAATAAGGATACTTTTTATGCAGAAGTTTTTTGCAGGAAGAAAAGGTAATGCCCTTCTCTCATCTCCAGTCCCCATAAAAAGTCTTTTAAAAAGAAATATCACAGTTTAGCAAGAAATAGAAGGGATGGATCAAAGCCACCGATATACTGCAAAAGGAGTAGAGAAGCACAAACTCACCTTTATGTAATTACTGACAGTTGTGTACTACCTTCTATGCACTGACTTGTTTAAGTTTCAAAATAGAACTCGAAGCTAAGGTATTAATACTCTAGGTGTTATCATTCTCTTTTTATAGATGGGTATGCATAAGTGAAATGATTCGGTCATGGTCACATAGGAATAAATATCAGAGAAGGAATCTGAACCCAGGTCTTCCTGAAGGCAGGTCTTGAATTCTATCCACTACCCACCCTATGCTGTTTCTCAGATAGAATACCTTAAAGGTTATAAAGCACTTTTCACATAACATCCCCATGACCTATACGGTAGTAATCAAAAACATAATGTGCATTTAAATAGTATTGAAAAGTTTTCAAACTGCTTTGCCTCTAATGTAAAATCTTATTTGAGCTATTGAATAGCCCTATGAGCTATCTTACATGGACATTATTATTCCCATTTTTACAGATGAAGAAGCTACAACTCAGTGACGTGTTTAGGGTCTCCCAGCTAATTTGGGTCAGAATCAGGTTTTAAATACAAGGTTTTCCTGATTCCAAGTCAGAGGCATTTTACACTATATTCCTCTGCAGAGGAATTAAGAAAAAACATATTAAGAAAAACAAGTTGTTTTTTGTTTGTTTGTTTTGTTTTGTTTCTAATTTTAATGGAGATCTTATTAATTGTGTTCATTTCAATCTAATTTTTATTAATATTAAAGTTTAAGAATGAAGACGAGTTGGGGGAAAATATCTGCTTGATCTATGATTTTATGAGCCAATGATTTCTTGACCTGGAACCCCAGAACAAGGGTGACTCTTGTGGTTACTGTTGAGACATGGAAGGCTATGGTCCTGATGATTCTGAACCCTCTATTTCCCCTCAGATTGAAATCGTGACTGTGATGCCTTCTGGAAACAGAGAGCTTCCCAGCCCACCACCACTGCCCCAGGAGCCAGAGGAGGAAGAATCCACAGCCAAACTGATTGATGGCTCCTCCCCACATGGGCCAGATTTCATCGGTGTCGTTGGTCCTCAAACCAATGAAGGTTGGTAAATACAGAACGGGATTCTAGATTACAAACACGTTAGCACCTACTGATGCTAGAGGTCTCAAGTTCTAGAGGAAAGAAGAATAAGGTGAAAATTTCCAGAGTAGAGCAGAGGAGAAGCAAGAGATGAGAATGCATTTTTTTTTCAAATAAATAATCTTTTTCAAAAATGTTAGCAATCCTGCTTCTGGTAATTACTAGCTTTGTGAAGTATGGACCTCAGTTTTCTTATATGTAAAATAAAGGGGATAACCAGATGTTCTCTGATGTTCCTTCCAAATTCAGATTTATGCTCCCTTGACTTTCAATAGAATCATTTACCTTGCTTTGAACATCGCTCATTATTGATTGATGCACTCATTCATTCATTCATTCATTTATTTATGCATTCATTTGTCATCCATTTATCTCCACTTTCATTTATCTGTTTACTTACTTAGCCATTCATTCATTTATCCATCTACTTATTTGTTCATTTGTCCTTTATTTATTCATTCATTCACACATTAATTAATCGTCCAGATGTTGTAATTTCATTAGTGTAAGGAACTGCTAGTGAGGAACACCATCTTCCCATGAAGCTCAGCAAGTGTTCTGAGAGCTGCTTGGACCACTGAAAGCTTGGTTAAATGACTTGCTAAGGTCAGCCAACCCATATGTATTAGAGCCCCCACTGACTATATTTTGATGCAAAATCCATAATTTTCCCACTGAATCAAGAAAGGAAATAGAAAGAAGTAATACATACATATATATATGTATAAATATATATATACACATATGTATATATGCACCTATATACACACACATATACATATTAATATATATATATATACATATGTGTTCTATACAATTATTTTAAATGAATTAATATGCACTTTAAAATACAAGAAAATGGACTTTTTAAAAAAATTCTCAAGGCAAAAAGCAAGTACCACTTAGAATAACTGGGATAACTCAATAGAATTAAAATTCCATGTCTACTTTGATTACTTAACATAAACTGCTTTGGTTTCTTTGCTTGGAATAATCTTCTTCCCCCAAATTAGCATTTTACATTTTTCTATATAATCATAGGTCATAGTTTTAGAGCTAGAAGGGGCCTCAGGGCTCATCTGGTATAATCTTTTCATTTGAGAAATGAAGAAATGGAGGTTCAGCAGGGCTTAGTAGCTTGCCCAAGGTCACAGGGACAGTACATCATAGATCCCAGATTCTCAGACGCTGAATTTAGAGCTTTTCCTGATATGACTAAGGAACATATTTGTGGCTTCATTACGTAGACAATTATTTGGACTTTCACCCTTTTTTTAATGGGATATTCAGAAGTAAACATAAGGTTCTGGACAGTTACAGACTTCGGCAATAGGTTGTAAAGTTAAAAATGATAATACTTCGATAATCAAAACAGAGGGGCAGCTAGGCGGTACAACAAATAGAGTGCTGGGCCTGAAGTCAGGAAGACCTGAGTTCAGATTTGACCTTAGACACTTATTGTTTGTGTGATCCTGACCAAGTCATTTAACTTCTGTTTGCCTTAAACCACTGGAGAAGAAAATGGCAAACCAGTACCTTTGCTAAGAAAACCCCAGATGGGGTCATGAAGAGCTGGACATGACTAAAAGGACTGAACAAAAAACAGTGTATAAATGCTAAGGAGAATTTGAATTTTTAGTAGAGGTCAGATCAGAGAGTTTTGTGCCTAGACCTAGAGTAGGAAGAGACCTTCAAGTTCATCTTATCTTCTCCTCCATTTTACAGACAAGGAAATGGAGACCCCCAAAATGAAAGTGATTTAGCTTCAGAGCAAGAGCTGGGACAGCTAGATGGCACCATAGTGCATACAGTACCAGACCTGGAGTCATGAATATTCATCTTCATGAGTTCAAATCCAGCCTCAAACACTTACTAGCTGTGTGACCTTGGGCAAATCTCTTAACCTTGTTTGCCTCAGTTTCCTCATCTGTAAAATGAGCTGGAGAAGGAAAACAAACCACTCCCGTATCTTTGCCAAGAAAACCCCAGATGGGGCTACAAAGGGTCAGACACAGCTAAAACAATTGAATAATAATAATCAAAATAGAATTATAAGCTAAACATGGATTTTAAAAGAATACATTTCTTAATTATGAAAAACCAAATAAAAACATCTAAAACTTCTGAATTAGACACTGATGTTACATCTATGTCCTATTTTTCTTGCTTTACTTACAGTAGAAACCTGGTATCAAAATAATAACAATAGCTAGCATTTGCACTAGCATTTTAAGGTTTGCAAAGTGCTTTATAAATTCATCTTGTTTGGGCTTCACAACAACCCTAGAGGGAGGTGCTTTTATTATTTCCTTTTTACAGATGAGGAGATTCAGAGTCAATGAATGACTGGTACAGGGTCAGCTTGTGACTGAGATGATATTTGAAATCAGGTCTTCCTGACTCCACATCCACCATTTTATCCACTGGCCGGCCTACCTGCCTATAATAGAAAGAGTGGTACTCTGAGAGTCAGACAAATAGCAACCACTTTAAAGATCGCTTTCTTTTCATTTGCAAGATGAAAAGATAAGAATAGATCAGCAGTTCTCAATCTGATCTGGGGACCCCTGGGAGATCCCTAAGACGTTCTCAGGGGTTCTCAAGGTCAAAACTATTTTCATAATAACATTAAGATGTTTTAATTTCCAACACAGTAAACACCATTACATATAACCCACATGAACAAGAACTCTTTTGGGAATCCTCAATATTTTGAGAGTATAAACGGGTCCTGAGAACAAAAGGTATAAGAACCACTGGACACTGGTTCTAATCTTTACTCTTGCTTTTCTTTTTTCTTTTTTTCTTTTTCATTTAAACACTAGACTTTAAGGGCAGCTAGGTGATACAGTGGATACAGCACCCAACTCTGGAGTCAGGAAGACCTGAGCTCAAATTTGGCTTCAGACACTTCATACTTACTAGCTGTGTGACCTCGGGCAAGTCACTTAACCCTGATTGCCTTCCCCCAAAAAATAAATACAAAAATAAATAAAGGAAATTCACGTCAATAAACACTGACTTATTTTTTTTAAAAAAAAGATAAAACCTATGAAAATGTGCAGCTATTTATTTCTTGTTACAATATATCATTTCATCCCATTCTTCCTTAGAAAAAATTTAAAATTACCTTGCTTAATTTCATTTCTTTGTCTTTTCAGACTTCCCCACCTGTCTCCTGTGCACTTGTATGAGCACCACAGTCTACTGTGATGACCATGAACTTGACGCTGTCCCTCCGCTGCCCAAGAACACAGCCTATTTCTATGCCCGATTTAACAGAATAAAAAAGATCAACAAAAATGACTTTGCACATCTAAGTATGGATGAATAATGGTTTAGTTCCTGTTTTCCTTAATTTGCTGCGTGGGTTATTGATTGCTCTTGGCTTCTTGGCTCTGTACTAATTCTGTGATTGTATTGTTGTGGGGTTGGGGGAGGGAATAAGCATTTACATAATGCTTACCACGTGCCAGGAACTGTGCTGAGCGCTTTACAAATATTATCTCATCTGATCCTCACAACAACCTTGGGAGGTAGGTACTATTGTTATGTCCATTTTACAGATGGTGAAACTGAGGCCAATGGGTTAAATGAGTTGTCCGAGGTCACACAGCTAGGCCAGATTTGAGCTCAGGTCTCCCTCACTCCAGACTTAACCTCTAACAATGGGATGGGCATTTGCTCTGTAACTTATATGCTTCGAGAGTTGCATGATATGTGCATAGTATAATACATACATATATGTGATACGAATGTTGTTTTTCAGCTGCGTCCAACATGACTACATTTGAGGTTTTCTTGGTAGGGACACAGGAGTGGTTTGCCATTTCATTCTCCACCTCATTTTACAGATGAGAAAACTGAGGCAAACAGGGTTAAGTGACTTGCCCAGGGTCACCTAGCTAGTAACTATCTGAGGCCAGATTTGAACTCAGGAAGAAAACTCTTCCTGATTCCAAGCCCTGTCCTCTATCCATGCACCACCTATTATCCATTCTTTCTTAGCTGTTTATGAGCACACAGTAATATCTGCCAACTGAAAATAGAAATGCATGAATTCAGGTCTTCCCTACTCCAGGCCCAGTGCCCTATTCACTGGGGCACCTACCTGCCCCATGACACAGACAGACAGACAGATGTATAGACAGACAGAAGACAGATGTATAGACAGACAGATGGATAGATAGATAGATAGATAGATAGATAGATAGATAGATAGATAGATAGATAGATTTAGTATATACCATAATATATGTATACAATTATATATATGGCCAACCTGTAGATACCACAGGTGCCAAGGTCAAACCTGAATTGGTGATCTTTCTTCAAACATCTTTGTTTCTTGGATGCATCTGTCATCTCCTTCATGTGGGACAGTCTCTCTGAGGATTCAGATTGTAATTCATCCACATCTGTTCGCCTGTGGAACTTTTGGCAACATCCTCCTGTAAATCTTGCACCCAACATACTGAGTGCCTTCCCACAGACTTTGTTTTTGCTGCTGTTGTTTGATTCTTCCATCTAAAAGATGAATTTTTTCGTGGTCAGAAACATTTTTGTTGAGAGATTTTGTTTTCTGCAAATTTGGCTGTCAAAAAACGTATCAGGGGACATACCTACTGAGAAAAGGCTCCTTTAAAGAGCAATGCCCATGGATATTCATCGAATATATGAAGGAATAAATGGGCTTTGTTTTTAAAAGATAGCAGGCCCATTTCTTTGCTGAAATTAAATGTCCTTATAATTACATAAATATGCATAATACCTGAGGGAGCCTGAATATTTCAGGAAATAGTAAAACATTTGAATGATAGCTCACTAGAGACAGAAGGCTAAATTCACTAACTGTCCATCTCCAAGAACAATCATAGTCTTTGATTTCTTCTTTGTTTTCATGGAGGGGGGAAAAAGAGAATATGCATGAATATTTTCTGTTAACTTTTTTTCCTAGGTGATTTAAAAAGGATTGATTTGACATCAAATTTAATATCTGAGATTGATGAAGATGCTTTCAGAGAATTGCCCCAGCTTCGGGAACTTGTCCTTCGTGACAACAGAATCAGGCAGCTTCCCGAGTTACCATCCACGCTGACCTTCATTGACATCAGTAACAATAGGCTGGGCCGGAAAGGGATAAAGCAAGAAGCGTTTAAAGTAAGATCAGGATCTCTGTCTCTCTGTCTGTCCTTGTCTCCCTCTTCCCACCCTTCTCTCTTCATTCTCATTCCCCCTCCTTTCTTCTCTCCTCTCCTCTTTCTCATATATCATCTAGTTTTTAAAAAGATATTTAGGAGAAACAAAACAACTTGCAGATGTTTTATTTTATTTGTTTTTTTAAAAGAAAGCAGAACTATCTACCTCTCTCAATTTTAGCAAAGTAAACAGTCAAAGAAAGGGTCTTTATGAAGGTCATGGGAAGCAGTTGTCATCATCAAGAAGCATTTATCAAATGTCCAACACCTAGCCAGGGCTGGGCTCATTTAAAAAGTGCACTGACTATAAAAAGCTACGTTATCTTTGATGTAGCTTTCCGTCATCAATCCTAGTCTAAGACCTACTCTGTATTCCCACTGAACATTATTTTGTTTTTATATTTCTTAAAGAGTTTCACATGCTTTTCTCAACATTTTGTTCTTTCAGATGAATTGATATTATTTGTCTAACTCTGTAAAATAAATCTGGGGTAGTTAGTTGACTGGCAAAAAAAAATCATGAGAAATGAGAGTAAAAGTCAAATTACAATCGCTCTCCCTTTTCACCAAATTCCTGTCTTTGGTTTTCTAATAGGATATGTATGATCTCCATCACCTTTACATTACGGATAATAACTTGGACCACATCCCACTACCACTGCCTGCTAACCTTCGAGCTCTCCATCTCCAGGTAGGCTTTTAGCAAAGAAATAGATTGGACAAAGAATGATGCCCCATTTCAGAGATAAAACTGGGACTTATTTATTCACCAGCAAATGCATTCATCTTCTCAGGATGATTTGGTAGAATGAAATGCCATATTTTTCTTTTTCTTTTGACTTCTGAGTCAGAAGATCTATATTTATATCTTGTCTCTATCATGCACTATCTGTGTTACATTAGGCCAAAGTAAGTTGTTTGAACTTAAGCTCCATTCAATTCTAAATCTATGATCCTATGTTTCTTTTCATTCTGAAAATTAGAAATTATCATAACAGTTGTTCTGTCCACCTACTGATTTCCAGTTAACAAACTTTAAAGCCTTAGTAACTTGTCCCCCCATATCTGCCATTGTTTATTTGACATGTTTCTCTGAAAGAAAAAAAAAATGCAAGACAACTACACTAGCCTTAAATAGGATCGTGGAGTGGGGAAAGATATTCACTTTTAGGGGCAGGGAAGGAGATCATAGGATCATAGAATTTTGATCCAAAGGTGAAAGGGATCTCGGAGGCCATCTAGTCCAATTCCCTTATTTTACATATGAGGAAACTGAGGCCCGGAGAAGGGGAATTACTAGACCAAGACCACAGAGTAAAATTATTCTAACTCAACAATTCCATTTTGTTATTTAGCCCCTGGAAAACAAGTTCTAGTCTTAGGATTCCATTTCATGCTTTATACGAGAATTCACACTCACTCCTCATCTGTTTTATTTTTTGGGGGAAGGGCAGGAAGCAATCTCATATAGTAGATGTTTATGAAAAGAAATTCCCATCTCCTTTCTCACAAACTACCATGCTGGTGAGATTTAACGTTATCTTTTTTTTTTTTTCATTAGGCTTCGCTTCCCCTTTGTAAGAATCACTGGAATAGCAGATGTGTTCATTTAAAACAAATGTTTTGGCTTAATATATGATCAAACAAATTATTCCTTCATTTTGAGTTTGGAAAACATCTCACCCATAGATTAAGTCACACTCTCCTCATAATTACTTCCTAGTATATGCATTAGATACCTCAAGTTGAGACTCCATTTATGCCCAGTGTAGAGTAGAAAGAATAGACACATTTAAAATTGTGTAGTAGTCATATCAAACAGAATGACAAGATGGCATTAATATGCCAGAGAAATTCTGTCTGTATGTCGTAGGATAATGGCTTTAGATCCAGAAGGCACCTCAGAAGTCATTTAGCCCAGCTCCCTTATTTTACAGTTGAGGAAACTGAGGTCCAAAGAGTCTATCACTTGCCTAAGGTAACAAATGTAAGACAGTTACAGGGCTGGAATTTGAACACAGGGCTGCTGACCCCAAATCCAGTATTCCTTTGCCCCACACTGTCTCACTGTTTCGTAGAATGATAGAATGTTAGTACTTGGAGAGATTATCTTTTTTCTAGATGATTTACTTTCCATTTAGCAGATGAAGAAATTGAAGTTCAGGGACCTTAAGTGATTGGCCCAAATTCATATAGGGAATGGGAAGAATACTAGATCCTACCTCCCAGAGTTGTGATGATCAAATGAGATAACTGATTAAATGATTTGCCCAGGGTCACACAGATATTAAATGTTCTAAGACAGGATTTGAACTCAGTTCTTCCTAACTCCAAATCCAGCTTTATCCATTCTGTGCACTGCACCAGACTGCCTACCCCACCCCTAATTTCTGTATCATGTATTGAAAATATTCCTTTCTATATTAACTAATTTTATCCTCATAAAAGCCATCAGAATTTGAAACTAAGGACAAGATCATTAAATCCCTTGATGAACCCATACCATTGTTCTTTTAACTCCAATATAGCAAGATCTGGGAAATAGGGGGATTTCATGTGTATGAAATCTATTGACAAAGCAAGAAAGAGAAAAAAGAAACTGCTTCTATTGTTTTGTTTTGTTTTAGGCAGAAAGAATCTTCTCTCTCTGGGTTTCAGAGTCCACTGAGGCTGGACTTTTGTCAGATGTATATGGTGTTTGGGATATTTTCTGTTAAATGCCCTAGATTTAATATGATATTTAGCATGGTATAGTAAACTGAGAGCCAGGAAGACCTGGGATCAAGTCCTACCTCAGAAACAGACTAGCAAATGTGACCTTGACAAGTCATTGCTCAATGTTGAAGGTAACTCTGTGGGACTAATAATAGTTGCATAGCAGGTGCTGATCTGCAGTGGTAGGAGTTCTTAATGATAATAGCTAGTGTTCATAAACTTTCATGTTTATAAAATTATATACATGCATATATGTGTATATATGTGTATGTGTGTGTGTGTATACACATACATACATGTATCTATAATCTCATTTTTCTTTACCCCAACAATATGGTATTATTGTCCGTATTTTACAGAGGCTGAAAGTTTAATGGCTCACCTCAAATCACACAGCTAGTATGTGGAGCAAGATTAAAAAATTTAGGTCTTCCTAATTCCAGGTCTGGCATTCTATCCTCCATACTACCTAGCTACCTGTTCTTTCCTACGCTGGTGAAATCACGGATCTGATTTAAAAATAAACAAACAAACCCAACACCACCACCAAGGTTTTAAGTGATTGTCCCTGTCTCCCTATTGTCAAACCACCTTTATGATTTATGACTTCATAAATAATAATAGCCCCTGGTCACAAAGCACTTGCTGTTTTACAAACTGAACATCAGGAAAATGTGGTGGTGAGGTAGGGCTCTATTTAGTTAATTTCCAAGTAACCCAGAAAGATTCCATACGATTTATGGCGGATATATATGGACTAGAGTCAGCATGGTGTTGTGGGGAGAGGGCTGGCCGCTGACCCAGGAAGACCTAGGTTCATATCCTTTCTCTAACATATTTAACCCTGGGTATTTAAATCCTTTAATCTCTCAGTGTTTCCGGGTAGCTCTGTAAGGCTCTAAGTAACAGAGAAGATTAAAGGTTAAGAACTACATTAATAGACGAAATTCTTCACTTGGGAGCTCGCTCCAGATGCCAATGAAATAACAGGCTTGGTCCCTATCCCTACAGAATGTTAAGAGAGGGAAAAAAAAAAATTAAGTACCAGAAACTGGGCTGCTCATTAAATGGACTAAATTCCCAGACTGTAAACTTTTTGAAATTCAGTGTTGGAGAAGTAGCAGTCTTATGCTAATTAGATGACAATACTTTGAATATTATGGGAACCTTAAGTTGTCAACAATAATTGTATAATCAGCATTCATTGTCGCATCTTAAATTTTACCCCAATATCCCTCAAGTTTTTAATAAATAGTACTCCCAGAATTCATTTAAATGTCATATGGCATATAGTCTACTCCTGTGACAAATAATGTTAAATAATGTAGACTGCTCTCATGGCTTCTTCCTAAGCTGACGTCCTGTTCTATCAATTAATTAATTAATTAATTAACGCTTGTTAATTAGGCTCCTACCTTGTGTCCAACACAAGTGGTTGGCACCAAAGTAATTAAGCATATGACATTTTCTGATTCTTGAAGACTGGGGAGACACAAAACTGAAACATATGAAATTATAAACACAATGAAGTTCTAAATGATGGGGTACTATCCATTAATACAAGAGTCTAGAAAAAAAGAAAAATTACTTGAACCCAAATAGAAGTCCAGGATTCTTCCTTATTCATACATGTTTTGGACCATACCTCACTTCAGTTGTTTTTCAATTGTGTCTGACCTTCGTGACCCTATTTGGGTTTTTCTGGGCAAAGATACTGGAGTGGTTTGCCATTTTCTTCTCCAACTCATTTTATAAACGAAGAACTGAGGCAAACTGAGTTAAGTGATTTACCCAGGGTCACACAGCTAGTAAGTGTCTGAGGCTGGATTTGAACTCATGAAAAGGAGTCTTCCTGACTCCAGGCCCGGGCTCTATGCTTTGCCCCCCTAGTTCTCTAGTATAGAAAACAACCTGGTGAGTAGATTCCCTCTACTGATGCAGGTGGGAACCTTTTCTGAAATTCAAAGTCTTTGAGTGCTGTCTATGAAGTGAGATGACTTGCCCAGTCACATAGCTGGTATGGATTACAAGAGAGATCTAAATTCAAGCAGACTTGCCTTCCAGACCAGACCAGTCTACCTCTCAAGTCCTATTCTGAAGCCTCATGTTGCAGAAATGATCTGTTCTCTTGAAGGCTATGATAGCATTAAATAAAAGCTAGCAGATGCCAACAGACTAGGAAAGCCTTACATTCTAAACCTAGTAACAGGAGAATGGATGAGAGGAAGGTTGAGGATGAAAGTAAGTTATTTAACTTTTGTGGCCTCAGTTTCTTCATCTGTAAAGTGAGGGGTTTAGAGGAATCTTTAAGATATTTTTCACTTCTAAACCCAATGGCAATATTCTCCAATTTCTTTGTGGAAAATAAGGGTTATGGAAAAGACCTGGGGACTGAAGGTATAATACTTTGCCACTGTGAGGATAGTGGAAGGAAAATTAAAGCTGTCTAGGATGAGGAGAAGAGAAGGAATATGATCTATGTGCTAAATTTATCTGCCATGTTGGAACTGGCTCATTAAAATGTTTAAATTTTTTTCTTTTAAGACAATAGTCTATGCCATCCCATAATCCCTTCTTCAAGGAGGCCTAGGGTGGTGAACGGCTTGAGATCAGGAGTAATGGCCTGCAGCAGGGCTCAAACCAATCACTGAGTGTCTGTACTAAGACAGGAACCAATGTGGTCCCTCCAAAGTTGGGACCACCATGCTGCTTAACAAGGGCTGAACTGGCCCAGATCAGAAACAAAGCAGATCAAAGTTCTTTTGCCTATCAATAGAAGGATCAGTCTATGGAGCAGTCATCGTACTTCCCATCTGGGCCATATAGAGGAGCCCTTCAAAGGAGAAGGTGGTGTCAAATGAGATGTTCTTGTTATGTAGTCCAGATTTCAGTTGCGGTCATAGGATCATAACCCTCCGGGGGGAACTTCCAAAGCCATTAAAAGATGGGGCAATTTAGGTCTAGAAAGGGGACTACACTGACACATAGACTTTCTTAGGTTATCTCAGGACTACCCTCTTAGATTCTTTTGGTGATTCACCATCAATTATCTGTTGTACCGATCACACAAAAACTTTTCCCATGGCCCTGCCCCCTTTTCTTTCCTGGATCAATCAAACCCCTGGACTGTTCTCTCCGTCTTCATATATTTAGAGCCAAAGCGACCTCAGGGACTTTCTGGTCCAATTCCCTCATTTTACAGATGATGGAATTCAAGCCAGGATTCCTTGGAGATAAAAACAAACAAACAAACAAACAAACAAAAACCAGAAACCAAGGGAAACATTTAAATATGAAAAACAAATAGGTATATGAAAGAGTGATTTGCCCAAGTGTATTTTTGCATATATATAAATTATATAAAAATTATATATAAAATTATATATTTGTAATAATATTAAAATTATATATATAATTATATAAAATTATATATACACATATATATACATACACACACACATATATGAGTGATGGAAAGAAGAGGCATGAATAAATTTAGGGTTATTTGTTGATGCTGATAAGAGGGAGGAAGTAATGGGGTGTGGGCGCAGGATGGGTAGGGGAAGGTAATCCAAAGATGAGATGTGCAGAAGGCCCATAGAGATATCGGGTAACATGATTCAAAGTTGTGTGCTAGAAGAGCAGGTATGGAACAAAGATACTTTTGAGCTCTGAAGGTGAAGGTAAAACATGGGAGCATAAGTTAGATTAGGAAAAATGGGAGAGAACATGAGTTTGTAGAGGATAAGGCATTGACCTTGGAATCAGTATACATGGATTCAAATCGTGCCTCAGACACTTATTAGCTTGTATGATCTTGAGTTGAGCATTTAAATTCTCCAGTCCTCAATTTCATCATCAATAAAATGGAGCTAATATCCGTTGTACTATCTCCCTCACAGGGCTTTTGGAGGGAAGTGATTTTCAAACCTTAAAGGTTATATAGATGTCATCACTGTGGTTCTTATAGAGCAAGGGGAATTAAGGCAAGCACTAGGTTAGCAAAGATAAGGACAAAAAGTGGGTTTCTAATGTGGCTGTGTGTATTCCTCTTGCAGAACAACAACATTCTAGAGATGCACGAAGATACTTTCTGCAATGTCAAAAACTTGACCTACGTACGCAAAGCTTTGGAGGACATCCGGCTGGATGGGAACCCCATTAATTTGAGTAAAACTCCTCAGGCGTACATGTGTCTACCTCGTCTGCCAATTGGTAGCCTGGTCTAAGCCAAATTCAGGGCTCAGGCAATGCCCTGTGATAATAGCAAAAGAATCGTAATTAATGTGCTAGCACAGAAAAAGCCGTGTATTGTTTGCAAATTTGTATTTGGAAATTTGTTAGAAGTTAAAATGAAGAACAAACAGATAAAGTGAAAAAAAAATGGAAAAAAAATTGATGACATTGGCATAGAAATATATAAAAGAGTACCAAATGTACAGGTTGAGCAAATTTAAATAGAAAATATGTAACATTTTTATACTTAAGAAGTACTCACATTTAATTTACAATATGTATGATTTAAACCTAATTATTCAATAAATGAAAATTAGAAAAAAAAACCACATACACTTTCAGTATTTATCCAAGGTTTGTTGTTATAATCGGACTTTTCTGTTCTTTTCATTAAACAATGTTGTTATTCCCCCCTAAATCATTAGATTCTGGATTACTGTGAACAAATAAAAGTACTGGAAAATTATTCTGCCTTATTTGGAAAATATTTACTATTATGTTGACTCACTGCAACCATGGGCTCTTACAATACACCAACATCCCCCAGACAAGGATATTGGACATTTTTCTCTGGCTGTGCCCATTGCTGGAACACTTTCCCTTCTCCTCTGCCTACTGACCTCTGTTACTTCCTTTAAATCTCAACTAAAATCTCTTCTTTTGCTGAGCCCCTCTTATTTCTATTGCCTTCCCTCTGTTAACTACTTCCTATTTATCTGTAGATTATGCGTCTGCATGTTGTATCTCCCATTAGATTGTAAACTCCTTGAGGGCAGGAACTGTATTTGGACTCTTTTGTATCCCTGCCACTTGACACAGTGGCACATACTAGGCACTTAATAAATATTTATCGATTGATTGAGTTGGGCAGCACAGTGGATACCAAGACCTGGACTTGGGAGTCAGGAAGACCACGTTTGTATTCTTACTCAAGAGCTGAATAGGTAGAAAACTGAGGTAGCTCCATTTAAAAAAGGGATATTTGCTGAATGTCCCTGTGATGTATTGGGCAAATCACTTGATCTCTGAGAGCCTCGTTTTCTTTAACTAGAAAATAAGGAGATTGGACTATATGATTTTTTCCCCTGCCCTCAAGGAGATTAGAATCTAATGTGGAAGGTGACAAGCAAATAAATAGAAACAAGTTATATATAAGATAAATAAAAAATAGTTAACCTACAGAAGTCACTAGAATTAAGAGGTTGGGAAAGGTTTCTTGTAGCAGATGGGACCTGAAAGAAAACCGGTAGACAGAGAGAGGAGGGAGAATGTTTCAGGCATGGTGGACAGCCAGAAAAAATGACCAGAGCTGAGAGATGAGTGTCTTGTTTGTGGGACAACAGCCAGGAGGCCAGCGTCAATGGACTGGGGAGCACATTTCAGAGAGTGAGGTGTAAGAAGACTGGAAAGGTAGGAAAGGGGCTAGGTTAGAAGTCATTCCTCTGTGGTCTACACAGGAACATGATGAAATTGTCTTTGCAAATGGAATACATATTTGGTATCCATTCATCTATTTATATAAGGAAACTACTTTGCTGACGAGAAAGCAAAATGTAGGTGTGAAGGGTTAAAATATGCAAATTGCACCAAAATAACTTCTTAATAAATTGATTGGTTTATCTGCAGAAATGCATCAGGGATAGACGAACTTTAGATCCCTTGGAAAGATTTTACTTAAAATATTGACAATTTTTCAAAAAAGTAGTTTGTTCACATAAAAAATTATATATATATATATATATATACACATATATATACATATCTCATGATTATTCTGTTGAAAACAATAAAGAATTTTACATGTCATATTTAAAATGTTGCACGAACTTATATAAAGTACTTGGAATATTGACTTCTATTACCCAATATATGAGTTGGTCTTTCCCAGATAATTATGACTGCTTGAATGTTGAATGAGTCACTGCTGCCATCATGTGTTAGAAGTGTATTCTTTCACAAAGTATTTTTTTTCTTTCTAGAACAGCGAAGATTAAGTTTAGAATATATTAGAAAGGGGAAGTAAAAAGAATTAATACACTTGGAGTCTGGAAAACCCAGGTTTGAATCCTGCCTGTGAATGTCTCCAGGAAAACTTTCTAAATTCTTGGAAATTCAGTTTCTCCTCTCTCCATGGGAATGACAGCAAACTGCAAAACCCACCTTACCACATGGTTGTAAGGCTCAAAAGGGCTAATCTGTGGAAGAGATTTTGTAAACCTTAAAGCTGTATATAAAGGGCATCTAGGCTTTTTCTTTTTGATTTGACAACATAGTCCTGTACAGAACATGAAACATGATAGAATGTAGAGCCATAGGGGCAGCTAGGTAGAGAGAGCGCTAGGCCTAGAGTCAGGAAGACCAGAATTCAAGTGAGTATCAGATCCTTACTTGCTGTATGACCCTTAGTAAGTCACTTAACCCCTGTCTTCCTTAGCTTCCTCAACTGTAAAATGGGGATAATAATAGCATTTGCCTCCTGCATTATTGTGAGGATCAAAGGAGATATCACATTTGCAAAGCCCTTAGCAAAGTGTATGGCATACAGTAGGCACTTAATAAATGTTTCCTTCCCCTTCCTTCTCCAGTCTTCTCCTTTCATGTGTTACCTTCTGTGAATACAAAGAGCAAGAGAAATGGGGTATCCTACTGGTGTTGAAGTGAATAGAGGGATGGATCTGGAATCACAGAGACTTGAATTCAAACCAGTCACAGTAACTCACTAACTATGTGACCCTGGACAAGTCTACCTAGGCTTTGCCTCCATTTTCCTCTTCTATAAAATGTGTATAATTATAGTACCTGTCTCCCAAGGTGACTGTGAGAATTAAATAAGATATTTGTAAAGTATGATGTAAATGCTAGCTATTATTTTGAGAAAAAAAACAGTTCCTGCTCTCAAGGAGTTTACAATTTAATGATTTTAATGGGGCAAGACAACACATAAAAGAAAGCTAGAAAGGGGAAGGTGGGGAAAGAAGTGCACAGAATCAGCTGAGGCTGACCTGGACTCCTTCCTTAAAATGAAGGTTCTAATCAGAGGAAGCAGCTGAAAGGGTGGCATGACAATTGAGAAAATCTGCATGTCATCCTAGTGTCTGCCAAGCCAACACTAACAGTACAAATTATGTCATATCAGTCAATGGATAAGCGTTTATAAAGCAGATAAAATGTTTTAGGCACTGTGCTATTTCTTTTGTTAGTATTATTTACATTAAAATCTCTTTTAAGACAGAGATGCAGCTGATGAAAAATTAGTCTTTGGGCTCTGTAATTGAATGTAAAAATGTTTCCAAAACCTTTAGTCCAAGCAAGGATTGTAATCCATCTGTCCTGAGGAGAATACATTTGACCTCTCAGGGTGCCATGTCCACCTAAACAGAACTAGATAAGCTAAATTTTAAATGCATGCAGTTGCTTCTTGAAAGAAAGGGAGCCTGTGGAGGGCCTGTCCATGGGAAGCTAATAGCTGAGCCAGGAAACCTAAATGAAGCCTGGCTATGTATACTCAGACCCCAAGACAATTGCTCAAGTCTTCATCTCAGTGCAAACTGTTAAAACTTAGGGACCCCATACTAGTCTCAATTTTTAACCAGGATTTGAAAAAGTGATCTCAGCTGACTGCAGATTTCCTACTCACTCTGCTCTTTATTGATTTAATGAAGGCTTGTAGAAACCAGGGTTCTCAGCAGGTGATATTCTATTCTTGCAACTTTCATCTTATCCTGAAAATAAGTGATGCTGAGAAATATATCAACCTTTTGGGATTGCAACTCACAGCCCACACTTGGCAGAGTAAGGTTTAATTGACTTCTGCTATCTGTTGGGCAAAATGAGGTTTCAGAATTGAATCCTAATGTGTAAATGGATAAGTGAAATGGCTTTTTTCGAGTTCCGTTTCTTTAATTAATTCATGATGAATTAATAAATGAGTCAATGAATGAGTAAACAAGGATTTGCTGGGCACCTAATATACACCAAACACCACAAGAGGACAGAGGATATGCAGTGACCATTTTGATTCATGTGGCTAAACTGCTGGGGGGGAGGGGGAGGAAAACAAAAAACAAAACAAAACAAAACTAAAACAAACAGGCAGCTTGTGGTGGTGCATAGGGCATCAGAAGGTACCTTGGCCAAAGTAAGTTGAAATCCATTTTTTGTCACTTGGTACCACTAGGTCTCTCTGAGTTGGTTTCCTCATCTGTAAAACTGGTGGGTGATGGGGTTAGACTAAAGTGACATGGCATAATGGCAAGGATACTGAATTTGGCACTAGAAGAACTTCCTATGAATTTTAACTCTGCTCTTTACTAGCTGTGTGACCTTGGGCAAGTCACTTCCTCCTTACTGGGCCTCAATTTCCTCATCTGTAAAATGAAAGGCAGTGGTGGTATTGGTACCAGATGATCTCTTAAGGTTTCTTCCCGTTTTTAAGCTTTTCTAAGTTTACTCCTATCTCTAAATCTATGACCATCTATGGATCTCTTTAAACTCCTAGAGGCCAATTCTATCCTACCCCTCCACCCCACAACGACCTAGGGGAGGGGAGTCTAAGGAACTCTTTGGAACTCCAGCTCCTTCTGAGCAGCCAACCCAGCCCCCATTAGCTGCCCCTCTCCTTAGACCACCCTGCCCCCAGCTGCGTCACAAGCCCCCTGAGAATACTCATACAACTCCTAGTTCTGCGGCCGAACCTCGACTTCACACACTGTGAGCACAACCCAGCCCTCTGATTGGCTGTTGCCCGGGGTAACCACGGACGCTGTGGGCACGCGGGGGCCCCCGGCCGGTATTTGAAGCAGCTCGGGCCCGCGCTCCCCTCAGTCCGGCCTGGACCGGCTACCACACTGGCACCTGAGCTGAGAGAGGGTGCAGCAAGGTAACGCGCTCCGCCTGCCCACCCCCAATCCCCAACCCCGCGTTACTGCGGAGACGGGTTTGTGCGGGAACAAGGAGCGGGGCTCACAGCGCGTAGCTCACCAATAAACTCCCCTCCCCCGACCATCCTTACTCAGTCCCCCTGTCCCATCCATCCATCCATCCATCCATCCATCCATCCATCCATCCATCCATCCATCCATCCATCCATCCATCCATTCTTCCACACATCCATCCATCCATCCATCCATCCATTCATCATTCATCTATCTATCCATCATCACCTACCCTGGGGGAGAGGCAACCTCTCAGGTGCGAAGGCAAAGAGAAGGGAAAATAAGGAAGTTAGGAAGAAAGAAGGCAAGAAGGACAAGCTATCACCCCCGGGCGGGGGGCGCGAGGAAAAGGGGCCCCTTTGGAGAGAAGGCGAGACCGCAGAGGGCTGGCACACGTGGGGCAGCAAGCGGCGTTGGCAGCAGAGGAGAAGGAGGCGCGAGGTGCTTGGGGACCGCCGCGGCCAAGGTGCCACCCGAGATCTTAGCGAGCCGACCCCTCCTCGCCCCGTGGCCCCCCGCGGCAAGGGGATCCTCCAGCATCCTCTACAGCCTTCCACGTGACAGGTGTGCGAAGAAGGCATGGCCTTAGCCCTTGACCGAAGGGCGGACCCGCTGAACCTAGGCGGCGGCTGGGCCTCCCCGTCGCCTCTCCCTCCTTGGTCCCCGTGCCACCGACGGCGGAGGAGCACCGCGATATCCCGACGGCGCCACCGCTCCGGACCCAAGTCGGAGTACGCGGAGCTGCGAAAGCAGGCGAAGCACCAGCATGACCCCGGCCCACCGTGGCCCCATGCTCAGCGGCGCCCCGAGCGTTCGGCCAGCCCCACCTGCTGGGGACCCGGGGGCTGGTGGACCCCGGGCCCGTGGCGTTGCCCGCCCGTGGAAGTTTGGAAGCCGCCGGGCAGTGTGCAGGTGGTGCGGGTCTACGGACTGAGGCCTCCCTGTCCGTGCTGCTGCTCCTGCTGGAGCGGGCCCGACAAGCCGGGCCCTGGGCGGCTCTACCGCAAGAAGAAGAAGAAGCGCTGGGGCAGGAAAGGCCGCGGCGTGAGGCGCGGCCGCCCCCGCCGCCCGCTGCAGAACAGCCCGCCCGTGGACCTGAGCGCCCTGCTGCGCCCGGTCAACCTGTACGGCCGTCGGGCGCCCGGCATGCGCGCCCCGCGCAACACCACGCAGTTCATCATGAACCAGGTCTACGAGGACATGCGCAAGCAGGAGAAGCAGGAGCGGCGGCAGGAGGCCCTGCGGGCCCGGCAGGCCGCGGCCGCGGCTGCAGCTGCGGCCACCGCGGGGCAGGCGCCGGGTGTCCCGGCAGCCGCGGCCCCCCTGGACTGTAGCGGCGTGCTGCAGCCCGTGCGCAGCCGGGACGACGAAGACAAGGAAATGTGGCTGCTGCAAGAGACTTTCTGCAGCTTCGTCCAGAACCAGCTCTACTGCCTCGTGCCCAGCCCCGCGGCCGCCGTCGCGGAGGACGAGGAGGAGGAGAACGAAGACCAGGGGCATGTGCTCCACCTTTCTCTGCAGGAGGGGGAATAGAGGAGGAGGATGGGGAAGAGGAGGAGGAGGAGAAAGATGAAGACGAGGAGGAGGAGGAGGAGGAGGAAAGAGAAGAGGATGAAGAGGAGGACCTGGAGGCGAGAGAGGAGGAAGAAGAGGAGGAGGACAATGAGGAAGAGGATGAGGAAGAAGAGGAGAGGTATGGAGAGGAAGAAGATGAATCTGAGGAGGGGGACGAGGATGAAGAGTTCAAAGAAGATGAGAACAAGGAAGAACTGAAAGAGGAGGATGACAGTGAAGAGGAGGAGAGGAGGAGGAGGAGGAGGAGGAGGAGGAGGAGGAGGAGATGGAGGAAGAAGAGGATTATGAGGAGGAGGGGCAGCAGCCCCTAGAGAGCCCTCTCACCAGCCCAGAAACACCTGAAGAAGAAGGGCCAGAAAACATTTTGAACTGTGATTTCTTAACCCGGAAACGGAGAATTGTCCAAAAGCTTCAAGAAAGATTCCCAATGATTGTGCAGAAAGTTCTGTGTTAGAGTGAGAGGGAAGGATGAATGGGATGGAACTGATTCTTTGGCTAAAATGAAATTAGCAGCTAAAAAAATCTAATATAAAAGTGAGTTCCATGAATAAATATTATCTATGCACACCCCTCCTCTGTAAAATTGTAAGATGATTAAAAACATTAATGTTGTTTGTGTGTGAATAATGGGTATGGGGGAAGGAGGCCCCTAATGGGGATTATGGTTGCAATTGCCTTATAGGACACATTTTATTACTATGGCAATTTAGTTATGTATTTTTTTCCACTCCCACTCCCACCCCCACCTGCCACAGGGCCCCCACCCAGGGAATTCTAGCACTTTTTTGATGTCTTTGTTTTTCTTTTTCTTTTTTCTTCTTTTGCCTATGCAAATACTGGAGGGGAAAAAAATTTGCACAATGAGACCTCAGGTAATATTATGTCTTCTAGCATTCCTGTGAACTTTTAAGGCTTTTTTTTTTGCTTTTTAAATTTAAGTAACACAGGAATGTTAAATATTTTAAAACTATATGCCACTGGCATTGAACAGTGAATGCATGAAAACGTGCCCCACTGGCCCTTTGAAAGTAGCCCGGTGGGGCCATAATGGAATTCTTTAGTTTGCTATGTACCTTTTGCCCCCCAATAAGCTTTGTAACTTGAGAGCTCATTTTTGTGGGTTTTATTGTGGTAACCCCATGGAGAGTGTCTGGTGGTATTGCTTATTTGTATTCCTTGTTCTACAGTGCCATGGATCTTCCTCAGAAGAACATGAAGGAAGTTGCTTCTGTGTATATGGTTCTCTGCCATGGCCTCAGCAATCCATAATCCATGAATGGAGAGGATTCCCCATGGTCAGATATCAAGTACTGCAACTTGCACATCTGGTTATATTCCCAGGTAACTGCTAAAAACAATGGAACATAGAAATGTTGAAGCGGTGGTTCCTGGATGGATACTTTTCTGTGAACAAGTTCAGAGGATCCATGGTGAATGGTTTTTGAAGAATGAGTGTTTTTTGGTTTTTGGTTTTTTTCTTTTTGGAGATCACTTTTGGCCATTTATAAGGGGGAAGAACATCTGATTTTATTTTTATTTCCCAATTTTATAGGTTTTTTTAAATTTAATTTTTTCTTGGGGTGGCTTTTTTTTTCCTTCTGAAAAGGAGAGACTATAAATAAATAACAAAGGCCAGTTTGGGGTGTATGTGAGAGTGCATGTTTTATTAGTTAATAAGTTCTGGAAAATAATGCTTTTTTCCCCCCAGGCATTCATTCAAATTTTTAAAACTTAATTTTTTTTTCCCAAAGAATTTTGATTTCCATAATTTACTTAGCAGGTTTCTACAATGTGTTTCTGATACTGTAACCCACAGATGAAGAATAAGAGTGCACATACCTACCCACAAAATTCTCAACCTTCCAGATGATAATATTTAGGGGAAAAAAAGGAAACAAATATTCAAGAAGACACAAACACTTTTTAAGAGACAACTTTGTAGTGGGATATGGTGGCACATGCCTCTGTTTTCCCTGCTTCCTGGAGAGATTGAGGCTGCTGGGATCAGTTGAGTTCCAGAGTTTTGTAGTATGTGGCTTTAAGCAGGAGTAGAGAACCTTTGTGGCCTGAAGGCCTACATGTGGCCCTCTAGGTCCTCATGTGCCACCCTTTGACTGAATCCAAACTTCACAGAATAAATCTCCTTAATAAAAGGATTACTTCTGTAAAACTTGGACTCAGTCAAAAGGCCTGCACTGAAGAACATAGAAGGCTACATGTGGCCTGGAGTCAAGGTCCCCCATCCATCTTTTAGCCTATCAGGTGTCTCTACTAAATTTGGAATTCCTATTCATATGGCAAGGCCCAGGATGAAGCTAAGTTTGACTGTGAGGCTGCCTAAAGGGAGCAAACAGATTGGGAAAATGGAGCAAGTCAAAGCCTCTTGTACATTGCCATCAGTATTAGGATTGGAGTCCTTGAATGGCAGTTTACTATACTTTCTTTCTAATCTGAGCAAGCTAGGGATACCCAGTCTCAAGATAAAATAAAAATAACAAAAAATAAGTAAGTGAATAAATGAAAGTAATCTTGGAAGCATAATAACTTAAAATCATAAGCATATAAAAGTGGAAAGAAATGTTTGAAACCATCCAACTCCTCATTTCACAGATGAGGAAACTGAGGCCTAGGAAGGTAAAGTATGTTCATTCAAAGTCACACAAGCAAGTAATAAGGAAGAAGCAAAATTTGAACCCTAGTTCTCTGACTTGAGCCAATTTTTTCCCCACTGTATCATCTGAAATAATGATATATGATATGATTCTTGTATTTATTTGTAAAAAGAAAATCAAACTTATAATAGTTTGATATATTTTTTTACTTATAGAACTCAGTGTTTTAGAACTGGTCATGGATTTGATTTTTGAGCCCTTTTGCCAGTTCTAACATTTTGTGAGATTAAAATCTGTACCTTTCTGATAGATATGTAGGCACTTACAACATGATTCTCAGAAGTATGGAATTTAGAATTTAGGAAACATTAGATGCTGCCTGTAGAGGGCAACACAAGGGACCAAACTGGTTGGGAACTGCTCTGATAGACAGTAAACTCTGACATCCAACAATAACTGAACAACTCACATCTTACCCATTTAAGATTTGCAAAGTGTTTTCCCCACAATGACCTTTTCAGGTGCTTAAGGTAAGTATTGCTAATCCTTTTTTTTTTTAAACACATAAGTGAACAAATTTAAAAAGGTAAAGAGTTAGGGGCATGCATTCTAGATTTTCTCATTTCCAAATCTGCTCTTCTGGTCATAGATGATGAAAATCCTTATACATTAAGTCATAGGATTTAGAGATGAAATTAAATAGACCAAGTGTGATCCAGGGACTACCTGGAAGCCCTTGAGAACTTTCAAGGGATCTATGAAGTCAAAACAAGACATTTTCATTTCTCCTATACTAAATAATAATAAATGACTCACCTAAAAGAGAAGCTCTTTGGGAGGGAGGGGTCATCAATAATGTTTAAGAGTGAGACCAAAATTTTTGAGAACCTTTTGCAGTTCAACCTTATCATTTTAGACATGGTTTAATTGGTGCTACTTGAAGATTGAAGGATGATAGATCACTAGGTAGAAAGGTCCTTTCATTTTATACATGAGGAAACAAAAGACCCAGAGAAGTTGAGTGACTTGACTTGCCCAAAGTGAGAGCTAAGTGTCAAAGGTGGAATTTGAACCCAGATCCACTAACTCCATAACCAGCGCTCTTATGTAAGGTAAGTCCTTTGTAGGCAACGACTGTGTTAAATTTGTCTTTGTATCTCCCTTGCCTGATCAGCACAGTGCCTAGGGGCTCGTAAGTAAGTGCTTAGTAAATGTTTGATGTATTATATATGTATACACACAAAGAAATTGAGATACAATGGAATAGATGAAACAAGATAGAATGTAATAGAATGGACTGGGATAAATAGAAAGATGGATATACTAAAATTCTGGGTGGTAAATTTCAAAGAAAAAATGAACCCTGTAATCTAGAGATCTAAATCTGAAAAAAAAAATCGGAATTCTGAATTTAAATTTGTTTAAAGAAGGCCAATTAGCTATTTAACTAAAAAATTCAGAATTATAATGTCACAGAATGTAGAGTTGGAAGGGGTCTCCATCTAATACAATGAAATGATTTACCTTGTTTCATATTACCCCCCATCATGGGGGCAGGAGGAGAATGCAGCTAGGTGGCATAGTAGATAGTAGATAGATTTCTGGGCCAGGTGTCAGGAAGATTCATCTTCCTGAGTTCAAATTCAGGCTCAGACACTTACTGGTTGTGTGACCCTGGGCACTTAACTTTGTTGGCCTCAGTTTCCTCATCTGTAAAATGAACTGGAGAGGGAAATGGCAAATTACTCCAGTACCTTTGCCAAGAAAATGGGGCCACAAAGTGTCAGACATGATTGAAAAACAACCGAACAACAACATATTACCCCTGCCTCCTGACCCCAGGCTCTTTGGATAATGGACGTGTTGGACAGAAAATATTTTTTATCAAGAAGTATTGCAGAAGAGGTACCTGCCCCAGTCTGTTTTTTTTTTTAATTCTCTTTTCTGTCTTCATACTTTAGGGACCTGAATACACATGAAGACTCCCTTCTATTAGAATTGTAGCCTTGTATTCTGTGATCAATTTCCTTAAGAGATATGACGTGCTCCTAAGCTACTACAGTCCTCAGTCCTACCCTTATTTAGGAATAGGTACCTGTAACTTAATTAATATAAGGAATTCCCAGATAAGGAACACCCTCTGTCAATGTGGGCCAGCACCTTCTTTTAGATATCTTAGAGAGTTCTAGAGCCCAGAGTGATGAAGTGATTTACCCAGGGTCACAAGTGTAACTAAAGACTTTTGTCTTTAACAAAAAAGACAAAAAAAAAAAGCAAAAAAAAAAGGAAGAAAAATGAAATAGATAAAAGTAGAAAGGCTACAGATGCTTCTCTATAATAGAGATGGAGATTTTCATTCTTGAAAGAGCTGATGATAAATGTATTAGTCCTCTGTCTAGCTGCCTCTGGACATCCTCCCAGGGAAAAGGTCCTTTCAGCAGAAGAACTAAATCTGATTCTTCTCATAATGATTTAAAGTCAGGATGATGCTTCAGTGAGATAAGTTTGTTCGTGATTCTTAGGCAAAGTCTGCTATTCCCATAATACTCTTTAAAAACATTTCTGTCCCTCCGCCTTATTACAGCTTCTGGCTAAACAAAGAAAGTCAAACAAAACAGTCACTGTCACACAGGTCTAAGCACTGACCCTCACGTAAAATAGAGGACATTGGTCCTTATACAGAATTAAAAAAAACAACAACTAAACAAACAAAAACAGAGGAAGTGAAAGTGGCATTGCCCTCACTGGCTCTGTCTTTCAAATATCAGAAATGTTGTAACCAGCAATGTTTCAGCCAAAACGGGTACTCATTACCATGCTTAATGCTGACTCCCATGACCATCCCAAATCGCAGAGAGTAATAACCTAGCTTTATGCAGATGGTAGTGATGAGGGTGGGGCCCAAGCCAAGATCTTCACCCTTTGCCTCAAAGGGAATCTGACTCACAGGCACCAGACCCTCATCTCCCTTTGAAAGCCTTAGGCTCCCTTTTGTCTATAGGCTCCAGAAAGGCCTTCCTTTATCTCCTTTTGAAAGTCCTAGCCCCACCTTGATTTTGTGCAGATGCCTTTCAAACTTCTGCCTTCCTGTTCCCTCCATTATCTATTCCCATTGTCTATTCAATCTCTCTGACCTCCCCAATTAGAATTCTTACCTAGACCCTTTCCCCAACCCCCTTCTCTGGCCACCCAAAGTCACTTTAGTATTTAAGATCCACCTTGGCCCTCATTCAGATGCTGAGAATCTCAGGCCCACAAGGCTGAGAACTTCTCATGCCTGCTGGTCTTTACTGGCGTCACCTGGCAATGTGATATTTCACTAATAAACTTTTCCTCTGGCTGAAGATTTGAGTTGAATTCATTTAGCAGGGCCTGGTACCGCGATCTTGGGGTCCCAGCACCCCAAAACCCCTAGACCTCTTCATTTATGGTTCCCTGGCTGGGAAACACTGCTAAACCTCAAACTCTTCTTCAGCCATGACTGGTAGGTCTCCCCCTCCCCAATTCCTTTGTTGTCTTGTGGCTGGGAGGGAGATTTCCAAGCAGCTAGCTCAGCTTGCCTTGGAAGGGTTTTCGGGCCTGATCTCTCAGGTAGGTCCCTGTAAGTCGGACAGCTACGAGGCTGTCTCGAATTCAGCCTGACGCTCCCAGGCTTTTCGGTCCAGTGCCTCTGCTTGAGCACTTGGACCTGGGTAATACCTTCCTTGGCATAGAGGACGGACTCCCTATCAGAAAGTGTAGGTCCAAACCTCTCAGTTCTCTCAGCGCTAGGGAATTGGGAAACTGTTGGATTTTTTTTTTCTTTTTTTTCTTTCCCCTAAGCCCGCAATGGGTCAATCCTCTTCAATTCCCAAGAATTCACCTTTGGGCTGCCTTTTACAAAATTGGAAAAGTTTTAGCTCCTGTAAAGAACTTAAAAAGAAAAAGCTAGTGCATTTTTGCAACACTGTTTGGCCTCAGTATCACCTGGAAAGTTATGAGGCATGGCCCCTTTTTGGGACATTACAGGTAAAGACCCTCTCAGAGTTAGAAAAATATTGTCACAGAGAAAGAAAATGGGTGGAGATTTCTTACTTAATGGCTTTTGTTGAGCTTTCTAGAGATCCCATTCTCAGAAAGGATTGTAAGATGCTCATAGCTAGAGCCACCCCACTAGTGGAGAGTGGGGATCAAATAGACCTTTTGGATGATCCTCTTCTTATGCCTCCCAGGGTTCTGACAACCCCATCTTCCCAACCTCCATCGGCACCACCTCCCCAGCACCTATCTCCACCCCATTCTCCTCCGGCCTCCCCGGCTGTTCCCCATTCCCCCCCCACCCCTCCTTCTGTTCCCCATCCTTCCCCAACCCTTCCTTCTGCTCCCCATTCTCCCCAGACCCCTCCTCCCTATTCTCCCTTGACCCCCCCTGCATTTCCCTATTCTCCCTTGACCCCCCCTGCATTTCCCTATTCTCCCCTACCCCTCCCTGTTTCCCATGCCCCCACCTACTTACCCATCCCCCCTTTCCCTTGGTTCTCCTTCCCTTTTCCTCTGGCTCCTGCATTTCCTCCCCAAGCCCCTACTCTAGAGGCTGCTCCTACTCAGGCCTTGAGCAAGGGTCTCGCCCCAGCCTCTACTTCCGAAGAGACCCCAGCTCAAACTCTGGATGAGGTTCTCAACTCAATGCCTCCTCCCCAGACCTCTACTTTGGATGGGACCCCTCTTCAGGCTCCAGACAAGGGTATCGCAGTGGCATCTTCTCCCCTGATCCCTTCCCCTCCTCCGGTGTCAGGTAATCTTTCCCCTTGTCAGCCGGATTCCTCGGCCTTGCCAGTTCAGCCAGCGCTTTCCAGTCCCTCACTCATGAGAAGTGGGACTTCCTATCTCCCTCCCTCGCAAGCCCCTGCTCCTTCAGGGCCTTCAGGGCTTTTTCCTTTAAGGGAAGTACCTGCCTCTCCTAATGCACTTAGGGTGCATGTTCCATTCTCCATTTCAGACCTCACCCAGATTAAGGAAAGGCTGGGTCGGTACTCCGAAGATCCCACTAAATTTACTGAGGGCTTCAGGGATGTGTCCCTACAATTCGAACTTTCTTGGGGTGATTTGCATGTCCTCTTCTCCACCTGTTGTACCCCTGAGGAGAGGAAGAGAATCTGGGAACAAGCCCAAAATTTTGGGGATCGTTTTGCTAGCAATGACCCCACAAAATACCCCCCAGGAACAGCTGCTGTTCCTGCTAGTGATCCGGGGTGGGATTATCAGAAGAGTGAGGATAGGGGAAAGAGGGACTACATGATAATTTGCCTGTTAGAAGGCCTGAAAACAGCATTTCAAAAGCAAGTAAACTTTCAAAAGATTAAGGGAATTACTCAGGAAGAAAAGGAAAACCCTGCCCTTTTCCAAGATAGGCTAGTAGAAGGCATTAAAAAGTATACGAATTTAGATCCTGACTCTACAGAAGGGGCAGCAATCCTTAGCATGTATTTCATTAACCAATCTGCCCCAGATATTAGGGAAATTACAGAAATTGGCAATGGGACCCCAAACCTCAGGCCCAGTTATTGGAGATTGCCTTTGGAGTCTTTAACAACAGAGACTTAGTTGCAGCGGAGAAAGAACACAGGCAGAGGGCTAGAGACAAAGAACATGCCGATTCCTGGCTGCTGCCATGGTCAGGAAAAGACCCAAGGGTGTTCCTGGCAACCTGGGCAGTGGGAAAACCTGCTTTCGATGCCACCATGAGGGTCACTGGTCCAAGGAGTGCCCCTCCAAGGCACCCCCTTGGAGGAAGCCCAGCCACTTGGGCAGGGGAGGCCACAGGGAGGCTCACTGGTCCAAGGAGTGCCCCTCCAGGGTGCCCCCTTGGAGGAAGCCCCCAAGACGGACACCTCCAGGACCTTGCCCAAGATGTGACCAGGAGGGACATTGGAAGAAGGATTGTCCCCGAGGTAGGAGAAGTGGTAGAGCAGCCCCCCAGTACCCTGTCCTCCAGTCTTCTCAAGACTGGGGAGGACAAGGGAGCCTGGGTGTGGGCCACACTCCCACTTTCTCCATCTCTCTCGCCAAGCCCTGGGCAGAAATCGAGGCTGAAGGTAAGGTTACCCACTTTTTCATGGCTATGTTCTTTGCTTTAACCAATTACTCTGGCCCTATTCGCTCCTTGACCCATCCGGTCATGGGCATTCCAGAGGTAACTGAGGGATGTCTCCAGACATACCCCTCCCCCTGCCTATTTGAGAATCTGTTGTTTAAACACTCCTTCCTTATGCTCTCCTCTTGCCCTGCCCCCTCGTTGGGAAGGGACCTAATGGTGAAGTTGGGGAGCCAATTTTTTCTAGTTAAGGCTCCCATCTCCCTTTTCCCTCTGTGTGCCAGACCTCCCCAAGTTCCCCTGGAAGTGTGGGAGACAATTTGGGATACTTTTGCCACCCCAGCCATTGTTCACCTCCGAGACCCTAAAGTATTTTCCTATCCCTGTATTTGTAGCCCCACCCAGAGGTTTCTTTGTCCATTGCCTCAGGAGTGCTTAATTTCTTGGGAACTCAAGGCTATAGGGTCTCTTTGAACAAAGTTCAGATAGCATCCCAGTCTGTAAAGTTTCTGGGCCAGGAATTCCCTGTCCCAGCCACTAAGAAACAATTTCGAACTTTTCTAGGCATGGATAGATTTTGTAGACTCTGGATCTCTGATAAAAGTTTGATTGTTAAGCCCCTTTATGACTGTCCTCTGAGCCCTGACTCACTCCCTCAAGACTGTGGCCCAGACCAGACTAAACCTTTTGTGATTTTAAAATCTAAATTGACCTCCACACCCCTAAATCAGTCCTTAGGAGCCACTGGAAAGCCTGCAAGCTTCCTGGCGGTGACTGCCACAGTCATTCTAATTGAGGAAGCCTCTAAATTTGCATTTGGCCTCCAAAAGTGGGGAAATATTTCCCTAGTTAAACTGGGAAGCTCTTTAGACTCCACCCACACCCACATCTCCACAAAGCCCTCCTCCCCAATACGAATTTCTCAGAAGTTTATGCCACTCCATTTATGCTTGCCACTTCTCTATGGCCTACTCTTTGTATATTTATACCCTGCTTCTCCAAAGGGGAATATTCTCTTACTTGGGAGACAAGCTCCAAGGCCACTAGACAAGTTAACACCCCTGAGGAGGAAGGGCCTTTTAAAGAGTTTCTGCTGATATTTTGACCTGCACTACCTGTGCAGACAATGCTAGTGACAAGAATTTTGGGGAAAAGGCGAAACAAAGTGCCAACACATGGCAAGACCCCAGAACTACTGTTTTGGTCACTCAGTGTTTGACACCCTACAAAGACTTCGGGGTGTGCACCCTCAGATTTTTAGCACCGCCCTTCTCCATTTTCAATGTCAAACAGCCCACAATCTCTGCCTTAAAGGCAAAACATGGATTTTGGGGAAATGTCCTCTGGTCTCTTAAAAAAGGAGTACAGTATCTTTTGTCCTGGTATAACTTACAGCATGAACATATTCTCTTTAACATTTCAGAGACTATTCACCAGTTGGCAAATGTGACAGCTTATGTTCCCCCGGAAATCCAGCAATCTCTGGATTCCTTAGCAAAAGTAATTCTAGACAACAGAATAGCCCTAAACTACTTGCTTGCCTGCAGTGGGGGTGTGTGTGCTTTAGCAAACACATTTTGTTGCACGTATAACAACTCTGGACAGATAGAGTTCTGCACTGCTCATATTTTGGAGAGAGCTGGTTGGATGCAAGAAATTCACAATAACTTTAGTGCTCCAAAATCTTTTTCATGGGAGTCCTGGCTTCTTCCTATACTGGCCCCTATTCTCATTCCACTACTGATCATACTTCTCTTGTGTTTGTTTGGTCCATGTTTACTAAATATTCTTGCCAGATTCCTTCTAGGGTCGGAGCCATCAACTTTCAGATGACTGTATACCAACCCCAGGTCTCTAGTCCACTGAACCTGGCATGAGCCAGGTTTTGAAGTTTGACCCCTTGAACGGGACCCAGAGAGGCAGGGACACCTAGCTCTACGCCCCTTGCCAGCAGGAAGCAGTTTCAGAAACAGAGACCTTCGCCACTTTCACCAAAAGAATTTGGTTCTGATTTGTTTGAGGGGGGAAAGGATGAGGGCGGGGCCCAAGCCAAGATCTTCACCCTTTGCCTCAAAGGGAATCTGACTCACAGGCCCCAGACCCTCATCTCCCTTTGAAAGCCTCAGGCTCCCTTTTGTCTATAGGCTCCAGAAAGGCCTTCCTTTATCTCCTTTTGAAAGTCCTAGCCCCACCTTGATTTTGTGCAGATGCCTTTCAAACTTCTGCCTTCCTGTTCCCTCCATTATCTATTCCCATTGTCTATTCAATCTCTCTGACCTCCCCAATTAGAATTCTTACCTAGACCCTTTCCCACACCCCCTTCTCTGGCCACCCAAAGTCACTTTAGTATTTAAGATCCACCTTGGCCCTCATTCAGATGCTGAGAATCTCAGGCCCACAAGGCTGAGAACCTCTCATGCCTGCTGGTCTTTACTGGCGTCACCTGGTCAATGTGATTTATCACTAATAAACTTTTCCTCTGGCTGAAGAAGATTTGAGTTGAATTCATTCAGCAGGGCCCGGTACTGTGATCTTGGGGTCCCAGCACCCCAAAACCCCTAGACCTCTTCAGTAGATGACGGAAAACCAGATGCACAATGTCTAGAATTACATGAAGGTAGTGCTTTAGAAGACAAAAGACCTTAGTGATATCTGAAAGTGGGTTCTTCTCCTAGAAGTATCTGCTATTCTGTAATTCTCATGGTGTGAGGGAAAAAAAAAAACAAAACAAAACAATTCTATCTTTGACAGTGACAAAATAAGTTATTTCTGGACATGCAAGTACTGAAAAAAAATTCTATGAGAAGGTATCAGGATCATGGCTAGGTTCAAACTTAATGGGTACCAGAATTATCACTGTATCCAACTTAGCAGGAGAAAATTTCCATTTATCATTTTGAGAATTATGCCAAGGACATCTAAATAGAATATAGTATTCCTTCCTATGAAGCCAAAGGGGTTTTGTATCTCCATTTATTTCTCTGCCATCCACTGTGGCTTTTGAAATAGCTGCCATATAGGCCAAATAAAAGAGAATGAACTAGGGAAATATTAGTAAGAAATGGAAGGTTCTGTCTTCCACCTTACTGTTTTTTATAGAAGCAGTAATGACTCATTACCATATATCACCAATTATAGACAAAACAATTCCCTCATAATAAAATTAATAATAAATATAAACATAATAGACTTGATTTAAAAAAAAAGCTGAACAAAAACTTGAGACTAGAGGATCTATCCAGAGGTGTGGTATTTTTTTGAAATGACACAAATTAAAAAAAATACAAACTGTTAGGGTTAAAAAAAGATAGATTTATGGGAGGGGTGCTGATTATTTTTTTAAAGGAGGGAGTAGGCCAAATAAGTTTGGGAAGCCTTTATATGCCTAGACTCTAGCACACATAAATAGTGTAGAAATAAATTCAACTCAACATGCAAACAGAAGGGAATGAGAAAATAAGAGGGGGAGGGTAGATTCACAGACAATTAGTCAAAAGAAAAAGAAACCCTAACCTGGGGGAGAGTTATGGAATGTGAAGAGAGCATTTAAATAAAGTGAAGGTAAAAGAAAGAAGACAGGAACAGAAGCTAATTGTATCAAGCACAGAGTATCAGTTCCAAGCATATTCCTGTTAAAACCCTCTTCTTCGTGAAAAGAGAACAGAAAACACAGAGAGGAAAAAAGTATAAAAGAACAGGATGGAGGGAAATACAAATTTAATAATCACAACTATAAATTGGAATGGAATGAAAGCACCCAGGAAGTGGAAGAGAAGGGAAGAATTGAGTAGAAAGCAGACTCTCTAATAGATGTTGTTTACAAGAAACACACTTTAAACATAAAAACACAGAATTAAAATAATCGACTAAAGCAAAATCTATTATACTTCAGCTGAACAAACAAATAAAAAACAAAACAGGTAGCAATCATATCAGTCAAGGCAGCAGAAAAGAGATTTAATTACAAGAGAAAATAGGGAAATTACATTTTCTTATAAATTATGTATTATATAAGATATAATAACATTTTTAAAGGAAGTGGAAAAGGAACAAACAGGAGGATATAAGGAAGAAGTCTTAAAAACTACCACAAAAATCATAGGAGGCCAAAAAAAGAAGAAAAAGCTCAGTTAAAAACTAAGAAAAACAACAGTTAACTCATTAAAATCAGAAGGAATGACAAGTGGTATAATAAAAAGGTTACAAGTGCCTCAAAAAAATATTGAGAAACAAAGGAAATTACATTATTACCTGATGAATGAAACATAGAACCCTATGGATTCCCAAGGCAGCTGGGAGTTTAGTAGGATATTACAAAATGGTTCAAGACACAAATAAGAATCTTGAGAAGAAAAATTCAGATGAGAACAAATGATACAGTATATAGTCTATACTGCAGAAATAATTAGAAAAAGGAAAACAAGACAAAAAAGCCTGATATATCTAGAACAATTTCAATAATGTCAATCTGTGGTTTAATACAATATAAAAGGAAAGACAATAGGATACTGATTACATCGCTTCCAAGAAACAAGATGCATGTTTCCCAGAGCTCACTTCCAGAAGAAATGTTGAGATTAGCGTTATTGCCTTTGTCTCTGAATCTATCAAAGTAGTGGAAAAATCATAATTAACATATATGTGTATATGTGTATATATATAATACACTATATATAATATACTATAGCATAGAATGGCTTGTTCTAAGATGCACCATTAATGCCTCTTCCAGTCATCTGGAGTTCAATCATGCTACTTTTCAAGAACTCATGAAATAGAAAGTACCATATTTTACTCCTCTGGAATAAATATTTAGTTTTTAAGCAACAGAATGAAAATGATCATCCTGTTAGCTCCAGGCAAGCCCAGATTTAATTCAATTAAGTCCAAACATTTATGGAGCATCTATTATTTGCAATTCACTATGCTAAATACCAGGGATAAAGAAGAGACTTAAGACAAAGTTATTTCCAAGGAATTTACAACCTAATAGAGAGAGTGAGAATGTAAGACAGGTCCACAAATAACTATTCTAAATTAGAATATAAGTACTCTGCTCTATGAAGTTTTTTATTTACATTTTCCCCTATTTTGTTGTTCAGTAGTTTCAGTTATGATTGAGGTTTGGTGACCCAATTTGGGATTTTCTTGGTGAAGATACTGGAATGGTTTGTCAGTTCTTTCTCCAGCTCATTTTACAGATGAGGAAACTGAGGTAGACAGGATTAGATGACCTGCCCCCAGGGTCGCACAGCTAGTAAGTGTTTGAAGCCAGAATGAATTCACAAAGATGAGTCTTCCTGACTCCAGGGCTGGCACTATGGCACGCCTCGCTGCCCTTAAAAAGATGTAAGATAGCCATGGTGCCTGGTCTCTCCAAAGAATTAGAGGAGAGAGCAAAAGATTGAGAATATGGATAAACCGAAGTGAAGTATAATCTGGAAGGACACGCAAAAACATTACTTTTAAAGGAACATATGACCTCTACACAAGCAAAAATGTATCCATCTTGGACAAAATGTGTAGAGAGATAACTTAAGAACCATTGGCCTCCATGAAGAGTCAACCATAAATATTCTAATGCAAGAAATAATGTAAGAAAACTGCCACCAATTTCTGACTTTATCTCTTGCCTGAGGTTGTTACACAGAAAACAAAGTATTGGTCAAAAGAATGCACAGATTGCTTCCATGAAAATAAAGCAAAACAAACAAAGTCTGTGCTTTAAATATCTTCACACAGTGGTTAAATTAATTCTCCTGACAAATAATAAATTTTCTAAGCAATCAGGAAAAAACCTTCAATAAGAAGGAAATCATATTTGAATATCATATCCAGAGCTTAGCATAGTACCTAGCACAAATTAAACATTTACTGGTTGCTTGCTGACTGACTGAAAATAATATTCTGCACACACCAGAAGCTGCAGAAGTAAACTGAAATAAGACTTTCCTCATAGTGAAGGGGCTCCAGGTGCACCTCAGAATGAGAAATCCAACAAATTTCAGCCTAATCATTGATGGAAGAGATGGACATTCAATAAGAGTTTTGAAATGTTGATGCATACGCACACACACACGCAAGCACACATGAAGACATAAAATTATTCAACTTGCAAACACTCTAACAGAAATGAAAGCTAAATAAAGCACAAATAATTATGCTCTCTTCAGAAACTATTGAATAACAAAGACAAAAAAACAAAACAGGAAAGAGACATCTATGGGGTTAACTCAGTAACACCAGAGGTATTCTTGAGGGATTTCTCTCTAAAAGTACACAGGGGGATAGAATAAAGCAGTATTTAAAGGAAGAGAAATGATGAAGAGGTCTGAAATGTCATGGACTAAACCTCACAACCCTCGCCTCCCTTTACAGTAATTATTGCATTTGTAAACCAGTCAACACCTACTATGTGCTAGGCACTATACCAAAAACAGTGCCTGCTCTCAAGGAATTCACAGGCTAATGGGGGAGATAACATTGTAAAATCTACGTAC